TGGAGAGAGGGCGTGTCTGTGCTCAAGGCTCAGAGCCTGGAGGGAGCTTCCCACTTAGGCTGAAGCAGAGTGAGCTCTGGTCATTAGAGAGGAAGAAATGAGCAGAAAGGCTTTGGAGTCGGAGTAGAGAGGTAGGAAATCAGGAAAAAGAAGGACAAGAGATAGGCTGTTTGTCTCTTTTGACTTCTGGAAAAGTCCCAAGAAAAGAAGGTAGCCAGGAGAAAGAAGGGGGTGAGGAGCCCCTGCCCTTCATTTATCCATTCGTTCATTGAATAAGTTTGAGCACCTACTATATACTAATCACTATGCCAGACAATTGGGATAATCCATGAACATAATGGACTAAGATTCTACTCTTGGGGAGATTTTATTCTGCAGAAGAGAAACAATAGCACAATAAACTACATTAGCATACCAACTATGCTGCTTGTTAGCTAGTAACTGTGATTAAAGAAAAGGTAAGACAAAGAATAACAGAGAGTTCTCGGGTGTGGGTGAGGTCAAATTCAATTAGTGGCCAGGAGAGACCTCACTGAGAAGGCAAGTTGGAGCAAAGATTGGAAGTTACTTTATCACATTACCATGTGATAATGAGCCATGTGGAAATCTAGGGGAAGAAAATATCAAACAGAACAAATAGTTTAAACCTCATGTTGTACTCTAGCTTGTTATAGTTCACCACTGTAACCAACTCTACCTCCATCCAAAGATGGCCACAACAGTATCCCCACTCCCACCTGGTCTCCTTACAATGTGACTTTAACATTCCTTCCATCAAGTGGTGAGGTTATTGTTCCACTGTGAATCGAGACAAACTTGCAACCAAGGCAAAAGTGGTCCTACATAACTTCTGTGGCTAAACCATAAAAGGCAGTAAATCTTCTACCTGGATCCCTTGGGATCCTTGCTCCTGGAATCCAGTCACCACATTGTGAGGAAACCTAGGCAACCACATGCAGAGACTCCATATAGGTATTCTGGTGAACAGCCCCAGCTGAAGTCCCAGAAAACAGCTCTCAGCAATCAATGGACAAGAAGGGTAAACTCACTTTCGGATGATTCTAATGGTTGGCCATCAAGTCACCCTTGACCTTGAGACTTCCCAATGGAAGCCTCAGACACTGGAGCAGAAACAAACCTCCTCACTGTGTCCTTTCCAAACTTCAAACTCGTTATCTATGGGCATAATCAAATGGTTGTTTTATGCCTCTAAGTTCAAGCGGTTTGTTATGTAGACACATAACAACAGATAACTGAAAAAGTACAGAGTCCTTCTTAGCTAATGATAAAATGTTGTCTTAATTTGCGCATGCCTTGTGTAGGTATCTTCCACGGGAACCTCACGGGGAGGAGAGATGGTTAGGCTAATATCAATGTGTTTTTATGTCCCTTGACCTAATAACTATGTCATAGTCTCAACATGACCCCCAAGAGAGATCAGCAAGAAAGAATAAATAACCTAAAAATAAGCTTCAATAAAAGTTAAAGAAGTATCACAAATCAGTACGGAAGGGAAGAATTACTTAAAAATTGATTCTGAAACAATTGGTGAACTATTTAGAAGAAAATCAATTTAGATTCTACCCTTAAGTAAATTCAATATGAATCA